AACAGGCTGTGATTGGTCACCAAGGACGACATGTGACGTGGGCACGTTTGAGGAAACTCGGTGGAAAGGAGGAAGCCATTAGGTCTTTGTGTAGATAGACTGGGGGCGTGTGCAGGGCACCGGCCTCGGCAGAGGATGTGCTCCTTCGTGTTTTTCATTAATGTAATCATGACAGCTGCTCTCTGATTAACAGGAAACACACATTAAAAGCTGGGAGCAGCGTTTTCTTTAGCACGTCTGCAGGTGAAATATGTTTCATCGTGTTTGGTGCCATCTGCACTCAGATGATCTCATTCTGCATCTGTGTATATTTGCATCTTTGTAGCTGGACTGTTGAATTATGAACTCCCAGGAGCTGCGAAATGGGAGATAAACACCGACTTCATGAAGTAGCTCTGCAGCAATTCCCTCGTGCTAATGCAAGAGATAACCCGACGTGGAGCCTCGGGAACGGTTTCTGGAGTGTCGACTATTTTCCTGTGACATCCTCCTTGGGCTGACATAAACCATCATGACATGTTTCTGTATGTACACTTAGAGCAGCCTTTGAAGCAAGTATAAAGTACATATTAAGAAGCATGTTTAAGGGAGAAAAGCATGAAGTCAGAACAAACGTAAATAAACTTGACATTTCCACGGGGTATGATGATGGACGAAATCTGAAGCAGGAACTTGGGAATCATTCAGGACATTCATCGTGTCCTGTAGCTCAGCTAATGAAAACATGAAATTTGGCCAAGCTCCCCTTTAAGGTCTTCTCCTCGTGCAGCTTTGCACCAATTCTGCATTTCAGAAGCTGCCTGAAGAGTCGATCACACGTTAGCGAGGTCCTATCTGAACCCTGAGGCCGTTTTCTTAAACTGGACGGAGAAGCTCACGGAGAAGCTCACGGAGAAGCGCTGCGATGCATTACAGTAGTAAATATTCTGCTTCATCGGCTTGTTGACTTCAGTGGGACCAAAATGAACTTTGTAAACTTCAGACTAGTTACCGTCACCACAAACTCAGCAGAGAGCGCACACGGACGAACTCACTCGTCACCCGTGTTTGAACGTCAGCGCTGAACTGTATCACCATCATCATCACCGTCATCATCATCATCATTTAGATTAGTTTAGCATCTTTCAAGAGGGCCAACTCTGATTTATGAACAACAAGGTCCGAAGGTTTTGTGGAAGAGGTGAGTTTTGAGTCCAGCGATGAGGCGTTGTGGAGTTCCAGTGGGTGGGGGTCGCCCCACCGAAGGCTCTGTGGATGGGACAGGAAGCAGACCCATGGCAGAGGACTGTGTGTACAGGTGCAGCAGGTCAGACAGGGGCTGAGGGCCGGGTCGCTGACAGATTTACAAGCGAGCAGAAGGGTCGTATATGTGATGTGGTGACCTGACCACAAGTCAGTGGAGATCTGTGAGGGTGGGGGTGACGTGACCCCAGGGCGGAGTGCATGTTGTTGAGTTCTGGAGCCTCTCTGGTGCAAAACCCAAACAGGACAGTGGGTGGTGAGCAAGTTGAAGGACGTTGTGAGGAACGTGTCAAAGGCTGAAGGACGAGGATGTGGCCAGAGTGAGCAGTGATGAGAAGATCGTTGGATGGGTGGACACGGCTCTTTCCTGACGGGAGGGGGGTTGGAGACCGGCCGGCTTCTTGAGGAGGGAGTCACTGAGCCGGTTTGAAGCTGGGGGGTACCTGGTGTATCCACTCACCTGACAGTTTCTGGGGTTTTTGGTGACACCAACACGATCTTCACTCACTATCAAACCCACTCCTTCCTGCAGAGTTTATCCTGTCACTCCAAATGACACTGAAGCTGAGCTGAAGCAACAAACTGGAAGAAGTTCAGAGGAGTCGGGGAAGGTTTAAAAACACGCCTCATGACACTAAAAATATAATGCACCTAAAATGTTCCAGAACATAATTTCTTCACATCAGTGTTTTTACAGTTCAGTTAATAATGTGAGCGGCGCCCTGCCGTGGACGCTCTGCTGTGGACGCTCTGCTGTGGACGCCCTGCCGTGGACGCTCTGCTGTGGACGCCCTGCCGTGGACGCTCTGCCGTGGACGCTCTGCTGTGTTCTGGGCGTCAGGGAGGCGGCTGCAGTTTGTTAGCTAACTCGGTGGGTTTTTACAAGCTCGACTTCCCCGGTGCGAGATGACACGGCCCATTTCCATCATATTTGGGCCTCGCTAATGTAAAGCAGCGATGCGTCATCCGTGTTTATATACGGGCTGTGAGTCAGAGGAACAGCGACACACTGTCACTGTCACAATAACACAGAACAGCTGTTTTAATGTCATTCCTCCCGACAGCTGGACTGAAATTACATGATGGCTTCCTGTGTTCGTATTAGCGTTCAGGCCACCGTGACCTCCGTCCTTTTCATCCACCCATGCAAAGTTATCAGATCTCTGTGCGTCCCGGGGAAAAGATGGACCTTTCTTTTCCAGTATCTGCATGAAACACTCGGAGTGCAGAAAAAGTCATCGTGACAAAGCACGGAGGCTTGTAACGAGCACGGAGACAGCAGCAAGTACTGAAACATTAAAGAGTCTGCAGGAGTCTACATGTTTACTGCATTATGCAGGGAAATTATGGAAATTAAGGAAAAAGCTACTCAATTCCCTGAAACAGCTTTTATAGTAGTGGACATGTCAGCATAAAGTGCTCCCCTTGGTCGCCCACAGAGATGGTGAAGCTCTAATATTTCAGCCTCTGCGATATCAGGCGGGGAGGGAAAAAGACAAAGCAGACCTTTGGGTATTAAGCAGGAGCGACGGCCCATCCAGCGCTGTTGAGAGACGGACCGTAAGCCTGTTAAACTTTGTCTCTGAATCCATCCGTGACCCTGTAAGAAGATTTACCGCAGCTTTGATCTCCTGTGTTCAGCCTTTTGTTCAGCTCGCTCAAACTTTTGGGAAACCGCCATTGTTTTCATTCCAGAGCTGATAATAAAAAATGCAGAGAAGAGTATCTCCATCTAAAAGTTGGCTCATTAATAAAGGATGTGAGGCTGCGGGAGGAGGAAGAGTCGACGCGACAGAACAGGAAATCGCTTTAGTATCAGTCGGCCTCAGCCTGACTTCACAGGAACTATTTGTGGTTTCAAAGACAAAATCTCACGAGCCTCAAGTTTCACATCGCGGAAGGCAGATCCACTGTAAATCCACAGGATCCACCAGAACCAGGAGCTACAGTTACACCAATATCAGTCATGTGATATCCATTATCGAGTCACGTGTTCACACCACGCTGCAATCGTGCCAGAGAGCTCCAGGCCTCCGTTAGCACGCTAAAGGTTAAAGTTAAAGCTGGTTTGGAAGGGCTGCAGGAGAAAGCCTCTCCTCTCTGGGAAGAACACGGCAGCACGGCTGACGTTTGCAGATGTTCGTCCTGGACCGCCGAGCTGCTGCGACGGTCCGGTCCAGACCTCAGTGTGTGATCCTCAGACAGCTGTGCATCAACCTCAGTGAACTGAAGCAACGCTGTGAAGACGCGTGCGTGAAAATCTGTGTCCACGTGAGAAACGGAGAATGAAACCGTTACTTTAGGTTATTGCTGCTACAGGAGCAACGAGCTGAACGAGCGGAGAGCGTCGAAGCGTCAGCCACAGCTGAGTCGTGGCTCATTCCCAAAGCTGTGTGAGCTCAGGCCCAGTTTGCACACATTAGTCCAGTACAGGCTAACCGACCCCATGATTCAATCTTAGACTGAAGATTAAAGCTTCGACATCCTCCTCTTCCTCTTTCTGTAACCACTGCCCCGCTCAGCAGCCCGGGTATTCTGATATTTCTTCAAGTTAAAACTGCTTTGAGTTTTTGACACGTCTCTTTAAATGTTTCACAATAAAAGCCTTATTAAGAAAAATATGTGAAACACAGAGAAGCTTTTAATGTGAAACAACCACAGGAAACACTGAGTTTGTATAAACAGGGTAATTTAAATAACACGACCAAAGGAAAAGAGGCTGAAAGGAGGCACCGTGCCAGCTTTTACGCACTTTTAAGGTGGAATGGTTTTTACATGTTGGTGCGACTCTTGACACCTTAAATGTGGCTCTAACCTTCAGTTTGCATTTACTCGATTGCACGCAGAACAAACTGAATGTGAATATTTTATTTCCTGTCTGAGGGTTTTTCCGGTCTGCACCGAGATCTTGTGACACTTCAGAAACTGATCCCAGTTTTCCAGACTCGTCGATCTTCAGGCTCAGCAGGTTTGAACAAAAGCATGACTCCTTACATCGAGAGAGATGGAGGATTAATGCTGTAAACTTACAAGAAATCAATAAAAATGAAGAATCGCCATTGAAGACTCACAGTCTTAAATATGTGAGGGTTACGTGCCGGCCTACAGCAAGCTTGGACATGATCCAGGATCAGTACTTCGCTCTTTAAATAAGTGAAAGGCAAATAAACTGTGAGCTCCTCGTGTGCAGCCACACTGCTGTCACTGCTGAAAGCTGAACATGAGCTCGTTCCCTGAGCTCAATCATCGAGGCTGCTGGCGGTCAGGAAGCCATCAGAGCACTGACGGCTCAAGCTTCTCAAACCTCCTCTGACTTTGTTTCCTCGGACAGACCTCGCTGTCTGTGTGAGCGACGTTTCATTCAGCAGCGCTTCCTGCAGAGCGAGGATGGCCTGCGAGCGCGTGCTGTCAGCGGATTGGCTGGAAACTAACTGGGACTGAATGATGAGAGAGTTTAATGAGTCACGCCGGAGCTGAAGGACTGACCCAGTTGGTGAGACTCTGAGGGGCAGCCTCAGAGTTATGCCAGGTCACGATCCGTCACATTACTGTTTGGTGATATTGATCACTGTGCCTAATTATCCAAACAGGAAGTGAACAAGCTGTAAAGCAGACTCAAACCGCGTCCTATAAAAGGAGTCAGTTGTCCCACGGCTGTCCCTCGAGTGCACGCTCTGATCCCTGCATGTGTGACTCAGAGATGTGGTCACATGATCGTGGACTCAGCCAGCGATGAGCACGTTTACACATGTTCACACCACAGGACGGTAAAGAGGCCATCGTACAGACGGTACAGATACAGACACGCAGATACGAAGTCCACGGCAGCCTTGAGCAGCCTGCCATCGCTCCCTTGCAGATTAAAACAGTAGCTGTGAGATTTTCTGGACAGAATTTTAGGCGCAGTGAAGGGGCGGAGCGAGTCAGTTGTTGGCGTGATCACAGTTTGCAGCTCTGCGTGTGAAGCAGCTGCGATGAGGATCAGCACCACCCAGTCTGAGGACTTCAAGTGTTTGGGGTTCACCATCTGGGGCGATCGTGGCTCAAGAGTTGGGAGTTCGCCTTGTAATCGGAAGGTTGCTGGTTCGAGCCCCGGCTTGGACAGTCTCGGCCGTTGTGTCCTTGGG